GATTCTGAGATAATGTGCCCTTTTGCTATCTAGAATGTATATGCCATAGAAATACTGGATAGAGGTAGTAGGATCAGCAGCTAATCTATGAGAAATTTTGTATGATTAGACACAAAAAATTGAATGCTTGTCTTACCATCCAGTAAAAAATATTTTTCAGTGCCCCAAAAAACAGCAATTTATTAATGGAAAAATATAATTTTATCACCACCACTTTTTAATGCTAAAAGTTTCTCTGGGAGCAAAGGATTAAGAAGGAAAAAAGACATTTTAATAAGGTATTATTATTATTATTTTTTGAGACAGAGTCTGGCTCTGTTGTCCAGGCTGGAGTACATTGGCTCGATCTCAGCTCACTGCAACTTCCGCCTCCCAGGCGGGTTCAAGCAATTCTCCTGCCTCAGCCTCCCAAGTAGCTGGGACTACAGGCACACGCTGCCACACCTGGCTAATTTTTTGTATTTTAGTAGAGATAGGGTTTCAGTGTTGCCCAGGCTGTTCTCGAACTCCTGAGCTCAGGGAATTCGCTTGCCTCAGCCTCCCAAAGTGCTGGTAGTATAGGCGTGAACCACCATGCCCGGCCAATAAGGTATTATAATGGCAGAATGTGGTTGAAGTGAATCCAAATAAGGATAATAATTGTTCCTACTTCACAGTAAAGTTTTGAAGATTAAATCAGATAACACATGTCAAATATTTAATACTTTGCCACTATTTATTACTGTGTGAATATGTATAATATGATACCTGTTTGTAGGCAGCTGATATTTTGTGTTACTGTTTGCATTAATTTAACATTAATGGGTAAAGATGGCAGGTGAAAACTCCTAAACATATGGGGGCAGGAATGGCAGTGGACTCCTTACTGAAAACAAGAAGATAAAGTGAAACTGAATACTGAACCGTGAGCTAGCTTCTTGCCTTATTTCGTCTCAGAACTGACAGCCCAGCTCCTATTACCTGAGATAAGCTTTCTCTCCAGAAAAATTAACCCACCCTGAAGAAAAACCTTTAAAAAACCATGTTGGGGGTGTGAGGCATGGCTAAGGAAAATGTTTTGCTGTTCTCTTACCTATAATGAAGCTCACCACTGAAAAGTCCTACCCATGTACACAGAGATGTTCCAGTTAGTTTTCTCTGTCTCTCTCAAATATGAAGGATCCCGAGACAATTACGGCCAAGATTCTAACTTGAAAGACTACGACCAAACCAAACAGCAAAAAGGAACTTACAGGAAATACAGTTTGAATAGCCCTTATCTGAAACAGCTGGGACCAGAAGTGTCTCAAACTTTGAAATATCTGCCTATATATGCGGTATCTTGGGGATGGGATCCAAGTCTAAACAAAATTCAGTTATATTTCATGTATACTTAATACAAATAGCCTGAAGTTAATTTTATACAGTATTTTGAAATAATTGTGTACATGAAACAAAGTTTTGACTGTGACCCATCACATAAAATCAGATAGGGAATTTTCTACATGTGGCATCACGTTGGCACTCAAGAAGTTTTGGGTTTTGGACAATTTGGATTTCAGATTTTCAGATTATGGATGCTCAACCTGTAGCGTTAATGCAGGGAACAAAGAAAATTTTAAAACAACCAAAAAAACCTAAGTTAATATCCTTAGAATTTTGAGAAGCCATTGCATTCTCCAGAACAAGGTACTACTTAAAAGACTTAGATTACCAGCTAAGTGGAGTGTCTCATGCCTGTAATCCCAGGGCTTTGGGAGATCGAGGTAGGAGGATCACTTGAGGCCAGAAGTTTGAGACCAGCCTGGGAAACACAGTGAGACCCCTATTTCCTCAAAAAATTTAAAAATTAGCTGTGCAGCCATAGTCCTAGCTACTGAGGAGACTGAAGTGGAGGACTGCTTGAACTCAGGAGTTCAAGGTTACAGTGAGCTGTGATGGTGCCACTGCGCTACAACCTGGGTGACAGAGGGAGACCTTATCTATGGTGAAAGAAAAAGACTTGGATTCCCCGTATCTTAAATGCAAGAGAAAACAAAGGGAAGTCCCAATATGATCAATTCTGAGAACTGTGTTAGTTGGACAGTAGTCAGTCCTGACTGAAGGCTGTAGAACTCCAACAAGTCTCCCTGTGATTTGGAGAATAAAAAATGACAAATGATTCTGATGATCAATTAATAGAAGATACAAATGAAGCTGAACAAATTACAACCAAGGCAATTACTACTTGCAGAAATACAAAAATATGATAAACAAAATGTAATCATGGTATGCTATAGAAGACAATATTATGTATATTTATATATTAGATATGAATTTAACAAAAATTACACAATTAAGTGATGACAGGAGTAGAAGTCCCAGTGTAAGATCAGGTTAGGGAAGGAGAATAGGGGAAGTATGAAAAGCAAAATCATCTTCCATAGCAGGGAGTTAGATAATATTTATATTTTAAAAAAAAGAAAAAAATGAGGGGAGTGTAAGCGGAGGAGGCAATATGGTAATGTATTTGGAGGTCAGATGCCCAGATTTTAAAAAACGCTTTATTTATTTTTTAATAAACAGAGTCTCGCTTTGTTGCCCAGGCTGGTCTCGAACACCTTGCCTCAATCCTCTTGCCTCAGCCTCCCAAAATGCTGGGATTATAGGCATGAGCCACCACGTCTGATCAAATGCCCAGATACTAAGAATTAGAATCTAATCCAAGCTCTGTCACTTACTTAATCTGTGACTGGGTAAATTACTTAATATTTCTGCTCCAGAGTTTCATCATCTTTAAAATGATTGTTCTAAGAATTTACTTCATAAATGCAGAGAGCTTAGAACATAATTGGCACACTTTTAATAAGTGTTCAAATAAATGTAATTAAAACCTTGTCACTTGGAAATGTGGAAGTAAACAGCAGAGAAGTGACTAAAAGTTGAAAGTGGCTGCCTCTGGAGAATGGGAATGAGAGGTAGGGAGAATGGGACAGGGGTCTAACATTGTCTCTATAATGTCTTACAGCAACACTGTCCAACAGAATTTTTTTTTTTTTTTTGAGACAGAGTCTTACTCTATTATCTAGGCTGCCCAGGCCAGAGTGTAGTGGCATGATCTCAGCTCACCACAGCCTCTGCCTCCCAGGTTCAAGCAATTCTCCTGCCTCAGCCTCCTGAGTAGCTGGGATTACAGGCACCTGCCACTATGCCTGGCTAATTTTTTTATTTTTTAGTAGAGAGGGGGGGTTCACCATGTTGGCCAGGCTGGTCCTGAACTCCTGACCTCAGGTGATCCACCTGCCTCGGTCTCCCAAAGTGCTGGGATTGCAGGCGTGAGCCACTGCACCTGGCCCAATATAATTTTAATGCAAACCATTACATGATTTTAAATCTTACACTTAAAAAATTTAAAAGTAAAGTGAAATTAATTTTAATGTTTTATTTAATCCTATGTATCCAAAATATTTAAAATATGTAATCATTATAAACAAATTAGAGATTTTATATTCTTTTGTTTTGTACTATTTGAAACCCAACGTATATTTTTACATTTACAGCACATCTCAATTCACACTAGCCACATTTTAAGCGTTCAATAACCACAAGTGGCTAGTATCTATCACACTGGGCAATGCAACCTATTTGATTTTTAAAAACAATACATATCATCAATGGCTATTAAATCATAGAGAAACCCAGCCATTTTATGTCTCCTGATTAAAAACTACTACTTCATTTGTACAGTGGTCTACCAAAAAAAAAAAAAAAAGACAGAAAAAAGGAAGCAAGCAAACAAGCAAGCCTGAATCTGATCAATCCTGTAGATTCAATCACCAATTTACAGAAAATATGGAGGAGAAAATAACACAATAAATGGCATGTCAAGGATGCAATCAGCAAAATCCAGATGGTGAGAGACTCTTAATAGACAAGCAAACCAAAAACAGAAATTTTAAAAATGTGACTGAGAAGGAATTCATGAATTTAAAAAGACATGGCCGGGTGCAGTGGCGCATGCCTGTAATCTCAGCACTTTGGGAGGCTGAAGTGGACAGATCACTTAAGGTCAGGAGTTCCAGACCAGCCAGGCTAACATGGCAAAGCCCTGTCTCTAATAATACAAAAAATCAGCCAGGGGTGCTGGCACGTGCCACAGCTACTCTGGAGGCTGAGGCAGGAGAATCACTTGAACCCAGGAGGCCGAGGTTGCAGTGAGCAAGATTGCGCCACTGCACTCCTGCCTGGGTAACACAGAGAGACTCCGTCTAAAAAAAAAAAAATAAAATAAAATAATAAAAAGACAAAAGATTTGTCAATAAATTGTAATGTGTGATCCTTATTTAGATCCCGACTAGAACTCTTTGACAATTTTTATACTTGTGAAATAACTGAAAATCCGATATTATTTTTACTAATTCTTTTTGAGGCACAATAATACTTTTAGTTTTTTAAAAGAACTATTATTTATTAGGAATACATGCTGAAATATTTATGAATAAAATTACATGATATCTAGGATTTGCTTCAAAATAACATGGGGGATGGCAAATTGGGGAAAGTGGGTACAAGTTTAGATGAAATGAAATTGGTCATAAATTGATAACTACTGAAGCTGGATGATAGATACATGGAGGTTCCTTACATTACTTTACTCCTGTATGTTGTTTTAAATTTTCCACAATAAGAGACTGAAAACAAAACTATGAGGCATGGTATTAATTTTAAAAATAAAAACTTAAAAGACTATAGGTCTTACCTAAGCCCAACATTAATTCCTTCAGACCTGAGGAGAGCTTTTTTTCTTATTAAGCCTAGGAAACCTATATATGTCATCAGTCTTGACTTTACACATAGTCTCCCTTTCCAGCTCATCTGATACTCTCCATCAGGAATATATTTTCTATTTAAAATCTGTTTATAAATGATTTGAAATTACCCCCTTGACAACCTATAAAAGGCTTTAACACTTAACTAAAGGAAGAATTCTCAAAAAACAACATCAGGCAAATTCAAAAAGATAAATTCAAGACACTAGTCGATACAGCTGGAGAAGTTACTTTTATTCTTGCAGTTTTATACTAGGAAGTCAACATTTAATTTAATAAGCCATCATCCACAATTGATTAAAAATGTTTAATCCTTAAATTGTACATCAATATCCTATGACTCCAAATTTTATTTCTTACTCTCCTTCAAGTCTGAAGAAAATGATTAATTTGCTAAGTTCCACAGACAGTACAGTCCCACTGACATAACATTTAGTATGATGTCCTACTCTCGTATTAGAATTAAGGATAGCCAGTATCAAACTGGCCTGAAACCTGATTGTGTTCCTGGTTCAGAATACCTGTAGTAAATTTGTAAATCCACACCAAGACACAACATTAAACTAGGGTGTGTATATCTTATAAAAAACTTTTCACAGTAAAAATCAACGTTAAAATTTTACCAAATTCCAACATTATGGGTTTTGAATCCAATTAAGCTTTCAAAATGCCTGATTAGCTGTGAATTAATTATAAATAACTTCATGTAGTTTGCCCAGCATTTCAAAATGGTTATGGACTATAACGTTTAAAATGTCAAAGTATGCTATACATATTGCACTTTTCTGCTAGGCTGGGCTAGTATCTTCCATGGCAAGATCCTCAAACTATTGAGTAAAATATACTTTTAAATCAATATAGGTACTTGATTAATTTCCCTGAAATTATCAACATCATTACCAAAATCTTCCAGGATTTTGTAAGATTTGATTCCTTAAATACAGTTTTAAAGTTAAACTTACAGAGGGAAAAAACCCCTCATATATTGACTGTAAATTTTACGTCCTTTTTTGGTCCCTCAACGACCAAAGAGAATTTTAAACAAATTATGCTTCATGTTTCCTGGCTTAATAAAAAGCTACAATTTTTATTATCCAAATTAAGAAATATTATACTAATCAAAAGCTATTAATTTTGAAATGTCTATGTATGTCTGTCTGTAGGTCCCCTTAGAACCTTTCCAAACATTTATAATCAAGAGATTTTAATCAATTATGTACTAGAATCATATTAAAGAAAAACTTATTTTGCAAAAATAAAATCACTTTCCAATATGCTTGACAGAAACAAGCTATTCATTTTCATTTGTGTTCCACTGAAGACATTACTGAAATCTGTCCAATGGTTTATTTCCAAGTGGTCCACTACGGAATTCTTCGGAATGTTTTAAGATTGGCTGTAGCTAGAGTTCTGACTTCCATTTGGACCCTGCTCTCCTTCACTGTTCAAATGGGGAAGAAAAAGATTTTATACCAATTAAAAGATCCATTTTTACACCCTGATAAGCCTACTGACTTTTAAATTCATTATTCTGTGGCACAACTATACAAAATAAAGACATTCCTCATTATAAGACATGTGAAAAATTAAAATCCAGAAGACTAACATTTGGTTTTATGTTTTTATTCTTATATAACTTTGTGCCCTCACACATAACAAACATTCTGGAAGTTAGTGTCCATATATACTCAAAAACTTTAAACTAGGGTATGGGATTTCATTGTTATTACAGGTATCACTCAACATAGAGATTACAGCTTCTTCTAAACAAATTTCCTATAAAATTAAGTCTTACATATAAAATCCTATTCCTACTATTTATGAAAAACAAGAAGTGTTCTTCAAAAAAAAAAAAACAAAAAATCAAAACTGTTGTTCAAAGGCACAATAAAATCATACATAAATATAGCAAACCTTTATAAGTCAGCAAGAAATATGGTAATTTCCTGGAAAATGCTGAATACTTAAAATAAAAATGCTGAATACTTAAAAATAACTAAAACTGAAAATACCAGTAACTTTGGCAATAGGATTATTGCCTTATCTTGTCCACCATCATCTTGCAGCTTCAGGCCCTGCCACTAGTGGAGAATCACTCAGGGAATTTCTGCAAAAAATGCATCCAAAGGTAGCTGTTTGAATGACTGCCTTAAACAGCTCCTTGAAGAAAGTATTAACTTTTTCCAAATTGTAACATTAACTTATCAGTAGCAATCCATAAATCTATCTTGCTATATAACAATCATTTTTCTAAAGAAACAATTAAAATGGATGGCATTTCTTTATTTCCCTTCTGACTTTTTCTCCCTGCCCCAAATGAACTGATACACAGTGAGGGCGGAGAACCACTGAACTAAATGAATAGATCTTACTTAAAACATACACACACACACACATACACACACACACCCCCCGCCAATAACAGCAGCAAAAACCCTCTTAGCACAGGTGATTCATTATTAGCAAAAATATATTCTTATGTGCTGTGGATCTTAGGGTCACTTTAAAACCAAAATTCTTTATCTTTACAATATCAGATCATTCACTGAAATTTTTGAAAATTGCTACTGAAATTTATAAAACAGGACAATAGCTGGCAGTGGGAAAAAAAAAAAAAGATGGCACAGAGTCAAACTGACATGAAACTACTATAGTTCTGAATTCTGCCCTGAATTTCGGATGAACTTGCCTAATTCTGTCAGCTTTAAATTCATGGTATATGACCATATGTTGAGAGATACCTGTAATATACCTTCACTGCATTAGGAAAAGTTACTAATCAGATTAGCGATTTTTTTAAAATGAGACATTTTCAATCAAATCACAAATTTAAAAAATTAAATTAACATGGATCATGAAGTTTTGGAAGAAATGTTTTAAAAACTACAAAACAACATAATCTAAGAAAAATATGGTAAGTATGATATATAATTAAATGACATCAATAATTAAAGTCTACAAAGTACCTGTTTGGAGGTGGTTTTGGTTTCGGCATCTTACTAAGAATGGTTGCCATCTCTTTTCTCTCATCGAAATTCTTCCACTGCTCATATAGTTTTAAAATAACCCTGATTATTTCCAAAATCTAGAAGAAAATATTTGGGAAGTTCTCAGTGGCAAAAACAAGCAACATTTATTATATAAAGAGTGCGCATCACTTACTACACAACCCTCAGAAAAGAGTAGTCTCTGTCCTTAAATCCTGATAAATTTGAAAGCAGTATTTTTCACCACAATGCTGTTTAGGATTTTCCTTCTAGCCTCTCATTTTTCAGCATGTGTGCATTGTCCATTCTTATCTATCTCTGCAGTTGATTTCCTTCCATCTGATGATATCTTTTAAACGGAAACATACTAAGAATAAAGGTTCTAATCATGAGGGAATACACCATTATAGAGCACACTCCTCTAGTATAAATTATTTTAAACAACTTAATGGGGGGGTAGTGCACAAAAGATGTTTTGATTCTCTGTTAACTACACATACATTAAGGTGTTCAAAAACTGGCAGCTACAAATTTGAAATAACTAGTTTCCAAATTAGCCGTTTTTTCCCACCTGAGTAGAACCTAACCTTAGGATTAATTTTAATGCATCTAACACTTGAGCACAAAAGCTAGAAACACAGCAAAAGCCACTTTGCCAGGAGATAGGCTGTGTTACAGAAGTTCACGTAGTATTCAGTGGTTACCAGGGAGCTTTTAAAATAATCCTGGGAATTAGAGGCTACTTTGCAACCAATCAAACCAAAGTTTACCATTCTGTTTAATCCTAAACTGAAAAGAGATACATAGCTTAAATAATCAGTATTAACTCTTCCTACCAAACTTTTTTTTTTTTTTTAAGACGGAGTCTTGCTCTGTTGCCCAGGCTCACATGCAGTGGCATGATCTAAGCTTACTGCAACCTCCGCCTCCCAGGTTCAAGCAATTCTGTCTTAGCCTCCCGAGTAGCTGGGAGTACAGGTGCATGCCACCACACCCGGCTAATTTTTGTATTTTTAGTAGAAATGCGGTTTCACCATATTGGTCAGGCTAGTCTTGAACTCCTGACCTCAGGTGATCCGCCCACCTAGGCCTCCCAAAGTGCTGGGATTACAGGCATGAACCACCACACCCAGCCCATGTTTCTTAATATTTTGTAACCAATAATCTTCTTAGCCTGGTGGACATCATAAGATTTTAGGCTCATGGTAAGTACATACGACATTAATTTTTAAACATTCAAGTTTACATACAACTAAGGGAATTTTACAGAATACCTTTTCCATATCCACAGAAAGCTCAGCAAACCATTGCCTGGCATCTTTCTGCTGTACAACACAGGCTACATGTAGGCAAGCTGAAATGAAAATGAAAGACAACTATCCATGTTTAACTGCAAACACAGAATATGACCTAACAAAGATTTTTCACTGAAAAATTTCCTGTGTATTTTCCAACACTCTTTAAAAAAAATTAAACAGCTACATATGAGAGTTACCATTGACCACCTCAACAATGTAATCCGAGACAGAAAAAATTACTAGAGTAATTACATCAAGTTCTTGACATCTGGTCCTCGCTGCGTGCTAGTCACGGTGCAGTTGCCTTGAGAGTCAGGCAAGTTAAAGAGGAAAAACATTCAATGAGGAGAATGGAAAAGGGAAGTTATCTCTGAGTAGTGTACAAAGCAGCAGTTAAACTGCACCCAGAAGTCAGTGCGACAAAACAAACAAAAATGTCAATTAATACACTAGGTTTTAACAATGTTGACTATATTTCCACATTTCAGTTAAAAGCAGTGTTGCCTCGTCTTTTTTCTTCCTTTTCATTATTAGCATATGATCAAGTTATGTGAAAGCTGGGCACATCCTTACAGAATTCAGTGTTGTAATCAAATAAAAGTTAGAAAAAAAATGTAATATACTGTATACAAAATTAGTTATATATGTTATATACAATATAAACTAACAAAAGAGAACAATCTACATCACAACTTTGCCTAAAACAATTTCTACTGAGCAGTCTGGATATCCTGAACTGACCCCAGCTTAAGTTATACTCCTTGGTCTGGTTATCCATATGTCTTTGCTAAGGATGACATTCTAAGCAAATAGCAACTCAAATGTGAACTGACACACTGGTTGCCCTAAGTCAAGCAAAGCTATGAGTAGGGCTTAAGTCAAGAAGGGGTTAAAAAACTAAAGGACTAAAATGATAAAAACAGGAAATTAAAATACAGTGGACAATGCTATTAACATGGGCATGCACAGAGTACACTGGAGATCGAGAAAGCATCCTAAACCCAGACTGAGGTGATGCCGAAAGGGTGGGGGAGGGTCACTGAAGAGGAGATATCTAAGCCAAGTCTTAACAACAAAAAAAATAAGAGTGGGAGAAGAGAATAATATGTATATCAATTGGGAGATGAATTCGGCTGGCTCCAGGTTTCTCAATCTTGGCACTACTGACATCTTAGGTTGAACAATTCTCTGATACTGTCTTGAATACTACAAGGTGCTTGGCAGCATCCCTGGCTTCTACGCACTAGATGCCAGTAGCACCCTACCCTAGTTATGACAACTAAAACCAAACATTGCCAAATGTCCCCTCAGGGCAAAATTATCCCCAGGTGAAACCACTAGCTTCACTCAACAGTTTGGAGGATAGATAGGCTCTCTGAGGGTGGGAGTGCTGTAGGCTAATAAGCCAGTTAGGAGACTGCTGTGGTAACATGGATAGAAATGAGATGACTATGAGATTACAGAAGGAACAATTGAGATGAAGGCACAAAATGTATTGGTAAACAACTACATGTGGGTATTGAGAGAGATGAAAGGGCCTAACTGCTGGGTTTCCAACTAAGGTATATAACTCGTGCTATTCACCAAGCTGGCAAAGACATTAAAAGGAGGAACATATTTTGGGGCAAAGTAATGAGCTCAATCCTCATCATGAGGCTGAGGTGCTGCTGGGATGCCAAGTGGAGCTATGTAAAAGGCAGATGGATATAAAGAACTGAAAAGTGGCAAGATCTTGGCTAAATAAAGAAATTTAAATGTTTCAGCACATAAGTGATAGTAGAAGCCATGAATCTCATGGAAAGTATCCAAGAAGAAAACTGCAGGGATGGCAAAGATGTGACACATGTTGTTATCCCTTCCTTCCTACCTATAGAGATCCCAGTATTCGTACCCGCTGAACCCAGACACCACTTCAAAAATCCTTTCAAATCCAGTCCTTTCAGGGAGCTGCCAGTAATAGAGAAGTGTAAGTATAACCTATTTGTCAGCCCTGATGTAAGAAGGCCAAGAAACATCAACATTTAAGGAATAATTAACAACTGAACAAAGACAAACCAATGGAAAATAAGACGGGAAAATCAAGAGGATGGAGTTACAAAAATCAATAGAAGGGGCTGGGCACGGTGGCTCATGCCTGTAATCCCAGCATTTTGAGAGGCCAAGGAGGGTGGATCACCTGAGGTCAGGAATTCAAGACCAGCCTGGCCAACATGGTGAAACCTCATCTCTACTAAAAATACAAAAATTAGCCAGGTATGGTGGTGTATACCTATAATCCTCCTGGAGCTACTCAGGAGGCTGAGGCAGAAGAATCGCTTGAATCCAGGAGGCAGAGGTTGCAGTGAGCTGAGATCACACCACTGCACTCCAGCCTGGGAGACAGCGAGACTCCATCTCAAAAAAAAAAAAAAAAAAAAAATCAACAGAAGGAAAAGGAACAAAATTAACAAGTGCCCAATATATAACAGGCATTATTTGGTGCTGTACAAGCTATCTCATTTAATTCTTCAAATGGCTCAGTGGAATTACTAGTATTCTCTCCATTTTACAATTAAGGAAACAAACACGGAAAGGTCAGATAATTTTCCCACAATTGTAAAGGAAGTAAAGTTTAAGCCTAGGACTATCTGACTCCACCCATTACAGCACTGCTTTCCACAGACAGTAGAATGAATGTATCTAACGTCTTCCTCCAGCCAAGCATTATGGACCACAGATGCTCCTTTACGCAACCTCTGAGTACTTGTTTGGGCTCAAGATATGAAAGGCCCAATTATTTTACATGCTACAACTAATATTAGCTGGCTTAATTCTGAACTTTTCCCTCTAAATAAACAAATATGTTCTATTCAGACACTGATTAAAACTATTTTGAATGGTTTAAAAAAAAAACTTACCAAAAAAAGGGGGTGGGGGAATAATAATCCTGTTTTGTGACAGTTGCAGTTCATATTATTGAAAGTTCACATGCAAGGATTAGTCTATTACTTCATGGAACATAAAAACACAAAGTACAACAGGGTGAAATTTAGTTTAGGGATGACCTAAATAGGTTTATAACTAATTTAACTAATAAAGGCACACCATGCTTACATACCTAAAGCTATCATGAAAGGAGGATACAGTAGGCAAAGATCCGTTCTGTAGGTATCATTCACTATCCTCCTATAGAAATGTAAATCATATTATTACTGAAAGCAGAACTACCTCATCTGGTTGTACATTTCCTCCAGAGAGGGCCAGATTTCTCATCTTTGCACACATTTATTTCCTTTTATATTACTGAAGCACAGCTATAAAAGTGAAAACATCAAGGCAAAAGGATGGATACATGAATGTGATAACAAATAAGCACGTATCAATGAATAAAATTACAGCTAAATATATTTTAAATTTCAAAATCTCATAACAAATTATAAACACATTTTTCTAATTTTTGAAAAATCAAATTAGAAAAACAGAAATTATACAGTAAATTTATATGTATGTTGCATACTACCAAAAAGTATTCTGATTACTTTAAAGATAGCTTCAGTCTTAATTTTTATGTTAACAGTCTGTGTTTTGTATAAAATTAAATTTTAATAGGTATATTTATGGAACAGATAATTTAGGATTGTTTTCATTTTGGCATTTACACCACTATAGTTATTAAAATTCAACAAGTGGTATTTTGCTCAACATAAAATATCTTGGGGCAATAGTTTAATGACTTTAAAAATACTGGACTTCATATTTAATTGTCAACCTTCCTATCTAATAACACGTTACACTATTAATAACTTCTGTTCTAATTACCATGCAAGGGGAAGCAACATGTCTTCTTGGCCCATGTCCTGCACATACTGGAGCAAAGGTCTATAAGGATGATACACTATCAAGCAACAATCCTAGAAACAGTTTAAAAAATGTGTATGTATAAAAAACAGATTTATTACAACACAAAAATGTTATCATCACCCAACTGATTTGTAATTGTGTATTTCAAAGTGAATTTCACTAACTCATGCTTGCTTCCCTTTTATTCTCTTAAGCAAGCAGTATGACAGCCCTAAACTCTACTATAATAGTGAAGGCAGTGCTCTCTCTGGAATATACCTTGATAAATCGGTTGGCAGTCAGTCAGCATCCATTCATTCCCTTAGAGACTCAAAGTGTCACATCTGCAACACACTGAAACCTCTTATTAGCCTATAAATCCATAATTCCCAACTGGAGGAGCAGAATTCTGCCAAAGACATAATCTATCTTTAAATAACACTGCACGCACACACAAATTGTGCACTAATTTACGGTGGTTTAATGTCCTGACTTGTCTGTTTGTAATCCTTTCATTATAGTTACTTACTATAGAACTGAAAAATTTTCTCATCCCTAAGTAGGATATACAAATTATTTTACAGGCATCAGAGAGACTCTAGATGCTAATATAAATAGGCTACCATGATTTCACCATCACATATCAGGTGGATGGTTTTAAAATGTACCTCCCTAAAATAATTTCTTTAAATAATTTCCAACTTCATTAAATTTTAAAAATGTTTTAATCTATTAATCACAGAAGATTTACTTACCATTAGTTCTAAAAGATAGAATTCACATTCTAATATCTGTTGAAAACAAAGATTATCAATGAAATGTTAATATGAAACCAAATTAGATAAGTCCATCCACTTAATCTAACATAAATTACAGACATTATAGTAATTATTAAAAATGTTTACTAAAAAGTTTTTAAAATCCAGACAATAAACATAGTTTATATTAAAATAAATATCTGCAATAAAAAATTACTATATTATACATGCAATTATGATTATAAAGATTTTAATCCTTGTAAGGAAAAGCCAGCTTCTCACAATCATTCTTACTACTCACTTTTATTTAAAATATCCTGTAAAACCATCAGATTTTCCAGTATACTTTCTAATACAATTATTTCTACTTAATTAAAAAAATGTAACTTAAAGAGAATAAACAAATCCCTTGCAAGGTGGAAAAAGGACATACCTATTAAAATGTCAATGAAAACTCACCTTATATTTCATATTGTTCCATTAGTTTTTAATCCCAGCTGAATAGTAGTATCACCTGGGAGCTTTTACACAGTACCAATGTTGGGAGCCCCAAGCCTGAAAATTCTGATTTTGTTGTTCTGGAAAGGATCCAACATCAGTATTATTTACAAGTTCCCAAGGTGATTTAATGAGCAGCCAGGGTTGATAATCACTACTATGAAGTATTTTTTTAAATGGTAAAAGTTATTTAGCTTTAATTTAGAATAATGTCTGTATTTATGTAATATTTGAAACTGCCATTTCTAGGAAACTACTAAATTTAGTCTAATATAGTATAGAGCTAGTTTATATATAGCTTTGATAAGTGTTCTATTTTATACCATATACTTACATGATTCATCCTATAAGGAAATTCCTTTGGAAAGGCATATGAAAATCTAGTTTTTACTGCAGAAAAAAAAACAAAAAACAATTTAAACTGAGAAAATGGGAAATGAATTAACTCAAAATTCCATTAACAGAGCAGAATATTAGAGGGTAGAACAAAATTATTTTCAGTAGGAATTCTTGGCAATACTTAGGGACGCAGATTTTTATTTATTTTCAGGGAAGGGGAAAGACTAGGTGGCAGGACACCCTACACAGCTTCAATTTTATATTTACTACCTTGAGAAAGGGTTCTGATGTTTAAAAAAGAAAAAGATCAGGAAAAAAAAAATCACTGGCTTTTATATTTCTAAAATCTTTTTAGCTATAGAATGGTATTCTTCTGTTTTCCAGTGATTGCGCTTAGAAGGAACACGGGGGTTACATATGTGTTTACAATATATATAGTTGGTAAAACATATACATATAAAATATTGGGAGGATAGTATACCAAAAAAATGTTAACAGTGGTTATCTGTGAGATTTAAGAACTTTTTACCAATCTGCACTTTCTAAACTTTTTACAATGACCAGGTATTTATCAAAATATATATTTTAATAAAAGCATTAATATATGTGCAAAGGTCTCTAGAGTTTTTTTAAACTCTAGAGTAACACTAAAGTTACTCAAAGTAGTAGTAGTAACACATAAAGTAGTACTCTATTATCTATTACTTTATTGGTTAGTCACTAAAGTACAAATGAAAAAACAATGTTAACCATCAATCCCCCATCTCTTTAAAATGGTGTGAGCATATACATATAAGTACCATTTGAGAAATTGTATTTAAGCCATTATGACACATTTAATTCAACCAAGTATTTACTGACAGGTCCTAAAAAATATTTGGTGTCAGCTTCCATTTGCAGAAAGCCCAAGTGATCTCACTGAAATTAAAAGAAATTCCATTTCTAACCAGGCACGGTGGCTCATGCCTGTAATCCCAGCACTTTGGGAGGCCAAGGCAGGTGGATCACCTAAGGTAAGGAGTTCCAGACCAGCCTGGCCAACATGGTAAAACCCCATCTCTACTAAAAATACAAAAATTAGCCAAGTGTAGTGGCATGCGCCTGTAGTCCCGGCTACTCGGGAGGCCGAGGCAGGAGAATCCCTTGAACCTGGGAGGTGGAGGGTACAGTGAGCTGAGAACACACCACTGCACTTCAGCCTGGGTGACAGAGTGAGACTCCATCTCAAAAAAAAGGAAAAGAAATTCCATTCCTTCTATGCAGTATATTTTCAAAAAGATTTGTTTTGCAAATTAAGTGCCCTACAGCTAATTTAGATGCGTAATATCTGCCAGGATTTGAAACCTAGAAAAATTTAAACTTGACATTAGTAAATTTATAATCTTTCCTTTCTTCTCTCCTTTATTTAAATTAAGACGTACCTATTAAGGTTTCTGAGTTTTACAAATCCTTGTGATGTAAAGTATACCAGCAAAACAGGTTCTTATATAATGGTAGACAATCAACAAAGTAAAATTACCTCTGTATATAAAACAAATCTACATCCCCATCCCCTGGACCTGGACACTAACACCTCTATTGAGAATATATTTACCTGATACTGTCACAACATATCTGTTACTCCACGCTAAAACTGCTCTGCATTTTTTTCTATCTTTTAATCCTTTTCTTCCAACTTGGAGAAAAATGCCTCCCTCCTCTCTATTGTTTGTCTTACCACTTATACATTTGTTATCATCTATTCAATTGATAACTCCTACTATTTTTTTTCATCTTTAACCTTTCCTCCTTCAGTAAATCTTCCATCACATACTGATATGCTCAAACTTCCCTTGAAAAAAGCAAAACAAACTCTACCTCATTATATTCCTCTGCCTTTTATTTTTGTGGACTAAAAAACTGAGATCATGCACAGTTCTCTTATACCCACCGTTATAGACTTGCCAGCCTCCGGAACTGTGAGAAATAAATGTCTGCTGTGAAAGCCACCCAGTCTATGGTACTTTCTCATATTAGCCCAAGTGGACTAAGACATGCCTTCACCCAGCTTCCCCTACTACTAACATCTTACGTTAGTATGGTGCATTTGATACAATTACTGACCCAATATTGAAATGTTATTATTAACTAAACTCTGTACTTTGTTCAGATCTCCTTAGTTTGTACCAATGTCCTTTTTCTATCCTAGGGTCTCATCTAGGATACCACATTACATTTATTTGTCACGTTTCCTCAGACTGTTTGGCTGTGACTGTTTTCTAGCCTTTCCTTGTTTTTGATGACTTTGACAGTTTTTAGGAGTACCAGTCAAGTATTTTGTTGAATGCTCCTCTACTGGAATTTGTCTGATGTTTTTCTCATTAGACTAGAGAACATGGGTTTTTGACAGGAAGACCACAGAGATAAAGTACCATCTTCATCATATCACATCACGGATACATGGTATTAATGTGATTTATCACTGTTGCTATTGACCTTGATCGCCTGGCTAAGGCAGTATTTGTCAGGTTTCCCCACTGTAAAGTTACTTTTCTCCTCCCTTTCCATATGTACACACTAGCAGGAAGTTAACATGTATAGCCAACACCTTACGAGTGGGAGTTATGCTCCCTCTACTTGAGGGCAGGGTAGCTACATATATTATTTGGAATTCTTCAGCATGGAAGACATGTCTCTTCTCCTTCATTTATTTATATCAGTATGGACTCATAGATATTTAGTTTATACTTTAAGTTACTACTCAATGCTATTTTTAAAATTTTGATGGTCAAATTATTTCAGTTTTGGTCAGTGGGAGCTCTCTTAGTTGGCTCCTATATCCTTCTGACATATCCTGATCAATGTAGGTTTTTGTTTTTCTTGTTTGTTTTGAATACTTCTTTATTACTGGCATTATGAGATGGTCCAGGTCCATCTTGTGTATTTCTTGCCCCAGTCCTAGAATCAGCCATTTCTCCAAGGAGCCCTGGTACCTTTTATTGGAGAATTTTATTAGAAACCGAGACATGGGTACTAGGTGAGCTCACCGCTACTGAGATGTCATTGCTTATAGACTCTTTCAGCTGAGAAAGCCAAGAAGTACACACATTAACCCATTTATATACACATATCTATAAGTATTTCTATATGTAACCATCCATATTGTATTAAGGTACAGGAGTTCATGCTGTTTCCAGCCCTTTGTTTATCTGTAAATTCCCACTCCAACAATGAGAAACCCGGCTCTCAAACATTTGCTATTGATTTACGTAATTGTTTAATTCCCATATACATGTATAACATTATCAGAATTGTTAACTTGGACACCCACAGGTAACAACTTTATCAACTAGAGTACAGTGCTTATGTGTAGTTCCTTTTGCCTGTACTCTTACACTCTAATCATTTCCAAAGCTACTTATGTCAACACCTTTCCCCCAATTCCTTTCACTGAAGTCGTTTCATATATTTGTAATATAGTTAGACTATTCCTTTCTCAGCACCTACTCACTTCTTAATTTCTTGCAATCTGGCTTCTACCTCTACCCCTACATTGTTAATAACACTATGCTCTCTCTCAAAATCTGTTTTCTTCTTTGGTTCACATCTTTTTTTATGCAGCATAAGACATTGTGCAACTCTTTTATTTTTATTTTTATTTTTAGAGACAGAGTCTTACTCCGTTGCCCAGGCTGGAGTGCAGTGGCATAATCACAGCTTACTGCAACCTTGAACTCCTGGGCTCAGGCAACCCTCCCACTTCAGCCTAGTTGAGTAGACAGGACTACAGGAGTAGCTAGGACCACAGGTGTGTACCACCATGCCCAGTTAGTTTTTCTTTAATTTTTTGCAGAGTTGGAATCTTGCTATGTTGTCCAGGCTGGTCGTGAACTCCTGTTCTAAAGCAATCCTCCTGCTCCAGCCTCCCAAAGTGTTCAGATTATAGGCAGGAACCACCATGCCTGACCTGTGCAACTCTTAAATGTTATCAAATTCCAAATTTCTACTGCTGGCCTCACATTTTTAAGAGGATGTTCTACTGACATATTTATGGTTAGAATGTCAAAGATTAAATTTAATTCTTTTAAGAACTCACTTAGTTTCTCTTTTTCGGTACCACCTACAGCTCCCCAATCCCCAGGCAAAAAACCTCAAAATACATTTCTGACTCTTCTTAAATCCCTTCCTTTTACAAGTCCTGCTGACTCTATTGCTCAAATCTGGCTCGTTTGTTCTTCTTGTTGGCTGCCAATATTAGTTTAAGCCTTCATTAGTGTTCACTGGGATGATTTCAGCAACTTAAAAATTATTTTTTCCACTTTAAACTTGTTAGGTTTTATTTCTCACAGCACCCTGTGGTAAGTGACGGCACTCAATACAGTTTGCAGTTTCACTGTATTTCAGAAGGTTTTTGTTTTTAAATTGTGTTAAGATACACAAAACTTTTGCAAAACTGAAACTCTGTACCCATTAAACAATCACTCCCTATACCACCCTTCCTCCAGCCCTATCATTCTACTTTCTATCTCTATTAATTTGACTACCCTTAAGTATTCCACATAAGTGTAATCACACAATATGTCTTTTTGTTACTGGCTTATTTAACTTACCATAATGTCTGCAAGGTTCATCCATGTTGTGGGATGTAAATAACTTTAAAATTTGTCTAACTCTACCTGCCCTCTCCTCCAATTCATCTTACATAATTCTGTCAGATTTACCTTCCTAATGTACAATGCCAGCATTACCCGCATGTGTAAAAATAAATAAAACTGGCCAGGCACAGTGGCTCACGCTTGTAATCTCAGCACTTTGGGAGGCCTGAGGTGAGGAGTTTAAGACCAGCCTGGCCAAAATGGTGAAACCCCATCTCTACTAAAAATACAAAAATTAGCCCGGCGTGGTGGCACACACCTGTAATCCCAGCTACTAGGGAAGATAAGGCAGGAGAATCGCTTGAACGTGGGAGGCAGAGGTTGCAGTGAGCCAAGATCGTGCCACTGCACTCCAGACTGAGTGGCTGAGCGAGACTCTGTCTCAAATAACTAACTAACTAACTTTCATTACTGTCAATAGAACAAAGTGCAGATTCCTTCATTTAGCACTGAAGGCCTTCTATTAGCTGATATTAGTCAGGTAAGGATTTTTCCCCACTATTTCCTTACTCAACATACAGTTAATCTAACTCATGAGCTTTCCCTATTTGACTAAACTATTCAATATTCTTAGACTGTCTATCTCCTGCATTTCCCCAGTTCAACTTTCTGCACCAAATTCTACTTAATCCTTTCTGGATTCATGAAGCAACCTTTTCCCACCCAAAACATTCACAGCATTCTCTGTAATTCTCTTATACTATTTATTTCCTTCTGTATTAATATTTTTATGTGTCTGTCTTATTTTTTTTGTCCTTAAATTCCTTGTATTTTATCTTGGTACCAATGCCACTGCACTGGTACAGTGGTTTCCAGTGATAATGATGTTGTTGTCATTGAAGATGATGATGATAGCCCCTAAAATTTACTGAGTATTGTGGACCAATATATGTCCCCCTCCAAAATTCATACGTCGAAGCCCTAACTCCTAGTACCTCAGAATTTGACTGTATTTGGAGAGAGGGCCTTTAAAGGGATAAGATTAAATGAGGACAGGCTGGACGCAGTGGCTCACACCTGTAATCCCAACACTTTGGGAGGCTGAGGCTAGTGGATCACGACGTCAGGAGCTTGAGACTAGTCTGGCCAACATGGTGAAACCCGTCTCTACTAAAAAATACAAAAATGAGCTGGGCATGGTGGCACATGCCTGTAGTCCCAGCTACTCAGGAGGCTGAGGCAGGAGAGTTACTTGAACCCGGGAGGCGGAAGTTGAAGTGAGCCAAGATGGCACCAGTGTACTCCAGCCTGGGCAACAGAGCGAGGCTCTGTCTCAAAAAGAAAAGAAAAAAAAGATTAAATGAGGACATAAGAGTGGGGCCTAATTCTGTGAGACTATTGTCCTCACATGAAGAAGATGGCAAACCAGGAGTGTGTGTGCTCCGAGAAAGATCCATGTGAGAATAACCAGACACCTTGATCTTGGATTTCCACGCTCTAAAACTGTGAGAAAATACACTTCTGTTGTTTAAGCCACCTATTCTGTGGCATTTTGTTACAGCAGCCTCAGCAAAGTAACATACTAGGCAAGGCACTGTTCTAAAAGCTTTATAAATATTAACTCATTTGGTCCTCATAACAACCCAACAACACAGGAACGGGTTTGCACATAGATACTAATATCCACCCATAAGAATGACATAATAGTCATTAGAAAACAATATAATAAAACTAGAAAACATAATTTTTTGTTTACTCTTATAAGATAAAAAGCCACTGAGTTGATGTTTTTGGATTGATTATTACTATCCATTTTAACATTACAAGTATTATCTTTATAACTTTTTTTAAAAAAACCTTTTTTAGTTCGATTTTTTGCCAAATACACTAGACATAAAGGTATCCTCAGGAAATTTAATAAAGCCAACCAATCTCTCATATGTCTCATAAACTAAAAAAAAAAAAAGAAAAAAAAAATTCTGTGTAATCTGGAGCTTTCTTTAGAATTACATCCTTAAAGCAGATACACTTTTTGCACTTACATACAGAAGTAGCAGCAGCAATCAATCTTGTATTTGAAACTACTCCAAATTCCTAAAGAAAGAAAAGCAGGTACATGTTAACCCAATGAATCTAAGGGTATCTGAACTCTATTCAAAACAGGATTTCCTTGCTCCCCTGTTTACATTCTGTTCACCTTCTACCCACTTGAGGCGTGAAGTACTTAAACCCCTAAATGTACAGGTTGATTACTGCTTATCTGACATGCTTAGGATCAGAAATTTTTCTGATTTAGGAATATTTTGCATTACACTGGTTGAGCATCCCTAATCTAAAAATCTGAAATCCAAAATGTTCCAATGAGCATTCCTTTGAATGTCCTGTTGGCGCTCAAAAAGCTTTAAATTTTGGAGCATTTAGGATTTTCAGATTAGGGATAGTCTGCCTGTATTACCTTTTCCCCAAATTGCTACAACTTAAGACAAATTTTAAAATAATTTTGTAATTTAATAACAATAAAAAGTACCAAATTAGAAACCAAATCTTAAGGTCATAGTGTCAGTTTTAGGACTTAAATTAGTTTCCAAGAAGATTATTTACATTCTATACTTAATTGCAAGAATACTAAGTATGTTTCCTATTCAATTCAACCTGTACTAACAGATACTTCATGCCATTTTATGATAAAACAGTCGCATCTGTGAATAAGATAAACCTTAATTAATAGACTTCCAAAGTCAGTTCCCGTTTCCTCTTTCAAATGAATAACCCCCATTGTGAAAATACTAAAACTTACTATGATCCACCTTATATATACTATTTCATCTATTGCCTAAGATTCCTAAAGCCTTCACTTCATTTTAAAATAAAAAAATCAAGAGTTGGTTTCTTATCCAACAAAAGGAGCTAAACTAAAAATCTATTTAAATACCTTTAGCCTACATCCTTATCCTGTGTAGGGGAAATGTATGTGTAGTAACATATTTGTTTTACATTTAAACCTCCAACTATACTAACTGAAAAGAAAAAGTAAAAGCCTGAAACATGTTCTTAAATGAGATTTCTATACAATTTCCATAAAACTAGAGAAAATACAGAAAGATTTGGTCACAGAGATAAAAAATAATAATAATAATAATAATGCTACCACCAAATCTGAAAGACTACATTCTCTTTCTCAGGAATAATTTTTTTTTTTTTCCAGATGGAATCTTGCTCTGTTGCCCAGGCTGGAGTACAGTGGCACAGTCTTGGCTCACTGCAACCTCCACCTCCTGGGTTCAAGCGATTCTCGTGCTTCAGCCTCCCTAGTAGCTGGGATTACAGGCATCTGCCACCACATCCGGCTAATTTTTGTATTTTTAGTAGAGACAGGATTTTGCCATGTTGGTTAGGCTGGTCTCAAACTCCTGACCTCAGGTGATCCGCCCGCCTCAGCCTCCCAAAGTGCTGGGATTACAGGTGTGAGCCACTACACCCAGCCTAGGAATAATTCTTTATCCAAAACTGAAAGGGAAAACTTTCATTTGGTAAATCACATCACAGAGTTCTATTCAGTAAATCAAATAACAATATTTAACAAATAAGATAGATTAAAATCCTCAAATTAATCTACAAGATTAAATGTTTATAAAGATTTTTTGTCTTGGTCCGCCATACTGCCTGTGCTTAAGAGACTTAAAATTAAATTATTACCTAGTAATATTTAAATAAAATCAAATATTATGTAGTATTAGAATTATTAGAATCAGAAAACTCAATCCGTAAGGACCTTTAATAGACACTTTCTTTTCCATTAAAGAACTTAACAAAAACAAAGCTGATTCTGCCTTCTTAAACTACCACTCACAATTAGAAAACATAAACTTCTAGAAAGCTTGTCTTAATATTATTTCTAACAGAGTCAATTGTCATTATTTAGGTAATAGTTGGGAAAGATGTCATGGATAGTCTTAAATCATGGCTAAAACAAAACTAAATCAAAGTAGCTACCAAAAGGAATATAAACTTACTAGGTAAAAATCACATTCAGTATTCAAGAATACAATTCTAAGAATACAACTCTAAGACATTATCCAAAAATAGAAACATAATGCAAAGATTTCACACCACCAAAGACTACATTAATTATTTATGAAAAACAGCCAATATCTGCTATTATTTTCTGGACTTTAGCTTTTTCGAAAATACTACAAAAGTAAAAAAATTGAACAGAAATTCAGTCTCTGCTACAAGTTCCTATCTATCTTTTCTCCCTCACCTAATTTCTCTACGCTCATAACCTCAACTTTTACTTGTTAGAATCTATATAGCTATAGCTTCCCCTAATCCTTGCCTTCCTTCTGGCTTGGTAGGCAGCCAATCATCAGGATGATGGGAGGGAAGACAGGAGAAGATAAGCATATGGGTGAGAAGCATAAGGGACATTCTCAGGTTATGGTAGGCAAGCTGTGGTACTTACTGAATACTACTCAGTGCCAAACAATAAATGTCTCAAAGGCAGCAGAGGAAAGTAGTTAAGAACACAGGATTGCTAAGGAGACTCCCATGGTTCAAACATGGGCTCTGACACTTACTAGCTGTATAATCTTAAGCAAGTTCTTCATCTCTCTCTGTCTCAGTTTCCTCATTTATAAAATGGGACTACTACTAGTATGCATTCCAGTTTGTTAGGAAGATTAAGTCAGTTGGTACACAGTAAGTGCTGTATGTGTCTGTTAAGTGAATATATAAGGATATGTATATATTTCTTTGATTTTGTACAATTTTAGTATTTTGCATACATTACCATTTATTAATTTGACACAGGCAATGTGAAAACTGGGGCAGATTAACCATCATACATTGACTATACTTTGATGAAGAACAGAAAATTGTTTTATACCTCTACTTTGGATGCCAAAAACACACATGTAGGAGCCATTAATACAGGATCTATACTTTTCAGAGAATACCTAAAATATGATAAAACAAAGTTAAATATCATTCATATAGAAAACACACTGGGAAAAAATCAAGATAACTCTATGGCAGACACATGATTCATTTACACTGTGCTAAGGTTCATCAACATTAGATAAGAGTTCAAATAAATAAAATAAAATAAAATAAAAATAATCCTACCTGGCATAGAATCTCTTGAAATATACCGTAGCAGTGGCAATAACTTGTTGTCTTAATTTAAGATGTTCACCTAATGCTTGGATAACTAAAAGGTAAATAATGAAATTTTAAATGTATCTTCTGGTATCATTATAATATTAACATTGAACAGTAACTTCCAATTGATTAAATCATAATTATGTTCATTTTTAACAAAGGGAAAAACCTACACATGCTCTATGTGAGTCACAGTGGTCTAACACTAAGACTTGCAAATGTGTTAAGAAAATATATAGGTATGCATAAACAACAACAAAACAATAACAAAACAGAAATTGTCCCACAGCAAAAAATTATTCATCCATTAAGGAAGTTGAATAAGTATTTCCCCTCTATCTTCTAAATATTTTAAATGCTTTTCATATTATCTTTAAAATAAATATAAAAAGAAAATATTAGACACCTATGAAACTTGTTAATACTACCACTTTTTTGTTGTTTTGAGACAGAGTCTCATTCTGTCGCCCAGGCTGGAATGCAGTAGTGCGATCTTGGCTCACTACAATCTCCACCTCCCAGGTTCAAGTGATTCTTGTGTACCACGTCCAGCTAATTTTTGTATTTTTAGTAGAGAGGGGATTTCACCATGTTGGCCAGGCTCATCTAACTCCTGGCCTCAAGTGATCCACCCACCTCTGCCTCCCTAAGTGCTAAGATTACCACACTTAGCTTTATACGGCTCACCAAAAAAAAAAAAATTCATAATGAATCCTCAAAAAAAAAAAAAAAAAAAAAAAAACCCAGAGAGATAAGTTTACAAAATAGTGAACTGAAAGTTAAAAAAATTATGTGACAAACCTACTACATGTCAGAGTAAAGATATATCCCTAATCTTCTTCCCTTCAAAGCAAAGTTCTAAGAGAAATGACCACTACAGGATGCCAATCCAAAGAATCATTTATCCTCAAAGTACTTTGCTTTAGCCAACCTTGAACTGGGTCTAATAATTATTACAAAGCCTTAGGGAGATTAGGTAACACTTCTAAATTGTCTTAAGTGCCTGTAATATGTAAAATTCACACAAAAAAACTTTATTTGGATCACTAAAAAGAAACAGAAATGAATACGTTGTAAAAAGAACACCTGTATAAATAAAAATGTTAGGTATGCACTAAAACAGTTTACAAATTACCACACAAAAACATTTTAATTCACAGGTAACCAACTATACAATCTCAAACAATTTTTTAAAAAGTTTACCATTTGTAAAAAATATTTGTAACTTCCAATATTCTTCCTCTGAGAGAAACTTTAAATCCTTTTGGCGCTCCTTCAACAGATCTTGTTTATCCAAAATCCATTGCAAACTAGAAAAGACATGTTACAGAAAATCAACAAGCAAGGTCAGGGAAAACACTCTAAGATTGAACACATTGTTCATATTCTGAGAAGTACAAAGAGCAAAACGTAACCTTAAAGACAATTATTTGTCACATTTCTTGAAATGTGACTAATAATTATCTCACTAATAAATGTAAATATGTCCTGAAAAAAATTCTGCTCTAATCTTTTCCTTCTTCCTCCTTAGTCTGTTACCAGCTTGTATTTCACTGATTCTGACTCTGATATCAAGATATGTCTTACAATCTGTGATGCCTTCGTGTTATAATTGGCAGCATGTTTATTCTTTCTTAGTGATGTAAGATAACGGTGGAATTATTTGGCACCAATCGATGGTGGCTTAGATTTGAGGAAGTATATAGTTTTTCAGCTGTTCATGGGTAACTATGGCATTTAATTTCCTTACTTCACAAATCTAATTATATTAAAAACTGCCTCAGAATGTGTTACACTGATAGCCTCCTCCTCTTGCCTAGTCAAGTGTGCTATTTTTAACCAGAGATATGAAATTGACATGACTCAAAGAAAAAACGATCTTGAAGCTGTGTTTGTCATTCAATATGTATTCCAAGTCTTATGTCAATTAACTTGTTGTTCAGCAGTCTTTCATACAGCTTTATGGATGGATCATTATTTAGCCAATCTCTACTGATGGAAATACAGGTTATCATTTTTCACCCATATTTTCTAATACCCTTAAGGGCTTTTTTCCTTCAATTTATGATCCATCTGGAATTTATTTTGGTACAAAGTAGGGATCCAGCTAAAATTTTGTCAAATGCTTATCCAAATGCGCTGAGGTATTTCCTGATTTATAATTCTATCATTATACTTGGATCTTCTTTATAATTTCCTATTTTTTCTTGTTCATATGCTGTGCTATTTTAAAACACAGAAAATTAAGTAATTAATAGCTGGTATAAAAAAATACTGCCTTGCTACTATTTCCTGAATGATATGCTTCTTAATGAATATCTTTGTAATTCTCCTTGCATATTTGATTAATAATATATTTGAAATAACTTCCCAGAAGTAGGATTAGTGTTGCTGGTAATTCATTGATACACATTGTCAGTTTACCCTCCAAAAACATTATACCAATTTCCATTTGTATTAACAGTTCATGAGTGAAACTTACAATATTTAATCCTGGCTGGGCATGGTGGCTCATGCCTGTAATTCCAGCACTCTGGGAGGCCAAGGTGGGCCGATCACCTGAGGTCAGGAGTTTGAGACCAGCCTGACCGATATGGTGAAACTCTGTCTCTACTAACATTACAAAAATTAGCTGGACGTGGTGGCGTGTGCCTGTAGTCCCAGCTACTTGGGAGGCTGAGACAGGAGAATTGCTTGAACCCGGGAGGTGGAAGCTACAGTGAGTTGAGATCATACCACTGCACTCCAGCCTGGTGGACAGAGACTCTGTCTCAAAAAAAAAAAAAAAAAAAAAAAAAAAAAATTAATCCTATGGGTTACTGCCACTTTTAAATATTTTGCAACTTAAAGGCAAAGTAGTACGTCACTGTTTCTTTTCCCTGTAGTTTACTTTTGAGGTTAAACATCTTTCTCTGTCTTTATTGGTCATATACAGTTCTTCTTTTGTATAATGTTAATTCTAATATGACCATTTTTCTAATGGTATTACCGATTTTTTTAATGATTAAGAGATTCTTCTCATCTAAAATTTGTACAGTATGAATAATAAATCACTTGTTTGACAAATAAGTGCAAAATTTCTCCCAAGTTTAAATATCTCTCAGTATTTAATTATTTGTAATACAGAAATCTGAATCACTTACTTAAATCTATCTTTTACTTTCATGTTTGTCAGGCATAGCAAGGTCTTTCCTGATTCAAAATGATAAACAATTCACCCGTATTTTCCAATACCCTTAAGGGCTTTTTTCCTTCAATTAATGATCCATCTGGAATTTATTTTGGTACAAAGTATAAAGTTGGGATCCAGCTAAATATTTTGTCAAATGCTTATCCAAATGCGCTAAGTTATCTTCTGATTTATAATTCTATCACTATACTTGGATCTTCTTTATAATTTCCTATTTTTTTCTTGTTCATATACTGTGCTATTTTAAAACACAGAAAATTAAGTAATGAATATCTGGTATGAAAAATACTTCCTTGCTACTGTTCTCCTGAAAATTTCTGACATTTTATCACAATTATTATTCTAAGACCCAAACTTAAGAAGCATTATGTCAAGTCCTAAAAAAGAATATCCATTCAAATTTTGTGATTGCATTACATTTAAAGATCAATATAGGGAGAAATGACATCTTACCAAGAATTCAAACTTTATTAAAATCTGTATGTGCCACTATGGACTTTTAAAGTTTTCTTCCTACAGGTTCTGTATATTTCTTTATATTTTTCCCTCTGTATTTTATATTTTCTGTTGCTAATGTAAATTATACTTCCCTATCCATTTTTAAAAAGCTTTTATTTTTGTATTTTATAACTGGTCACCTTATTAAACCTTTATTATTTCTAATAACTTCTCAATTAACTGAGTTTTCTCATTAATTTTATTTCCACGTATTGATAATTTTGTCATTGTTTTGTCATTCTTTCTATATCTCCTTTGTATCAATTGTATTCACTAGTATACTGGTAAAATCTTAAATAGGCACCCTAATTATCCCAATGTTTTACCACTGCTGATGCTTTGATATGTTTTTCATGTTAAGGAAGCATCCTGTTTCTGTTTTAGTAAGAGCTTTAGTCAAGGATAAATGTTGAATTGCATTAGTTTTTTAATACCTTTACTGCTTCATTGACTATATTTCTATAATAAAATCCACTGTCACGTTTTATACTTTCAATGTAATGTTAGACTGTATTTGGTAATAATTCATTTACATGTTTGCATCAGTATTCAAAAGTGAGACTGTTTTTAGTGTTCCCTTTGCTAGATTTTTCTGTAAGTGTTATCATGGCTTTGTAAAGGAAAGCTTTTCTTCTTTCTGTATGAAATGGAACAATTTCAAAAGGAGATTCTCTTGAAAGATGGAAAGTATTTACCCATGAAATAAGGCATAGCTCTTGGGTAATACTCTTAACTTGCTTTAGCTTTCAAATTTAAAACCCTGGAGATAACCCAAAAGTACCCTTGGGTTTACTTTTCTCATTCCTAATTTTGTATTTTTGTATCATTCCTTTTTCCCCTGATTTAACTAGCAGTAGTTTCGTCTACCGTTTTTGTTTACTCTAAGAATGATCTTTTATAATTTTTTTCCTTTTAATATATTAGCATCAGTGTTATCTATTTTAAGATCTTCTTCATGTTTCTTTAGGCTTATTTCATGTTTCCTTCTTAGTATTATTAAATAGAATATTTCTATTAGCTCTCAATTATTCAGGATATTGATTTTCTAATACATTCAAGCTTTGGTTACATTCCATATATGGTAATATTATGATGTTATTTTATAGATATTAAGTAACTGTATTTTCAGTTTCCTTTTTCACACAATAAAGTATCCACAGTTAGTTTTGTAGTTTCTATTTTTGTTACTCCTTCATTAATGCATTCAATCAACCCAGCAAATACTTAGTCCCCTTCTAGTTCATTTTGGTCACAGACTGTGTTTTGTTCTACTTCAACTACATTGTGGTTTGCTAATTAATTTCATCCCCACAGAGTCATTTTATGTTTTTAAAAAGATAAATTTCATAAATTTCACAAACATTTTATGAATTTTCCTCAGAGCTGTGTATGCAGGATAAACTAAAAAAATTTATAAATACTGCATTTCATCAAATTTAAGATTACATCTAGGATTCATCATTATTTCATATGCTATGAAAGAAACTGCCATGCTCATTTCAAAGATGTTAAAGTGTGAAAATATGCATCTTAGAAGCATGAAATATAGCATATTTAATGTCAATTGCCCTCTTTCACCAAATTCAGCTAAAACAATGGCCTTTCATAATCTTTTCGTTTGTTTTTCCAGAATTGTCTTGTCTTCCATACTTGTTACCTTTTCCAGATAAGAAACTCTATGACTGCTCAAGGGATCTGAGCAAGGCAAAGTGATCCCTTCTTTTAGGAGTATTTGAATTGGGAGAATAGTTTCAAAGAAGTACACTTAACTTTGTAATAATTTTATATTTGAAAAGTGAAAAAATGTTTTTATAATGCTATGAATAAATGAAAGCATAATGAGAACACCATTGAAAAAAGGAGCTTTTTTTTAAGTTGAAAAACTGACAAATCAACAGTCAGCTACTTGTCAATTCTCTCAGCTTCTTTCAAAGTTTATCAGAATCTCTCTTCTCCACTACCTAAATTTTTTTTTCAGGAGCTCTAACTCCAATACCTAAACTTTCGATACTTTAATTTTGCCCAAGCAATATTTCAGTGTGTGAAAACAATGCAACATATATATAATACACACACACACACATATATATACACACACATACACATATGATCAGTTGCCTGCCTCTTTAACATGTCATCTCCACAGAATCACTTTATAGCAAGAGGAAAACCTGCTTTTCCTTAAATAGGTTACCGAGTTCATTGTTTCTTTTTTCTCCTTGCAAAGGGCTAAAAAAATGAACATCAGGAACAGATCCTATTCACAGAATCGAAATTTAAATTACTTACTAATGCTTTCTTAGCATAAAAAATTATACTAAGATACCTTCTTTGTCAAGTTCTGTTCATCTTTCAACTATACAGTGGAAAGCCTACTCAATGTTCAATTAACCCCATCACGCACCTTCCTGCCTGCTTAAACAAATGTATTTAGAGATAAATGTTTTTAATATTATTCTAGCTCTCACATAGTCACTGACAGAAACAAGAACTTATTCATGAAAAAGGTTAAAGAAATAGAGAAACAAAATCACTGGAAAAATACGCCTTTAAAACAAAATATAAGGCACAGGCTAACGAAATGGATAAGTTTAGAGGGCACCTGCCCTACACCTTATCAATATAAAACTCCATCTAGACATAAAGTACTGGCAAGAAGAGGTTAGTAGGCAGAAACAAGCCAGACTCTCTCCTCTCCTCAGAATATTAAATCCACTCAAGATATACAGTGAATGACAAAAGACCACGACGCCGATCACCCGAAGAAATCCCAAGCAAAAGCACGCCACAACTGTCCTGAACAGGTAGCCTCACAGTCTTGAGCTGAGTCACACTTCCCGTACCTGTGCCCACTCTATCCGACCCCCCGCGGCCTAGTTAAACTAAAAATCCGAAATTAAACTCTGAAACGTTCCTTCCTGGGAGACTAAACTCTCTCCCACCCCTCCCCCTCACAGATCCTTCCCTCCCCGAAACGGGCTGGGGGCGGGGAGGGGAGTCGCCTCAGAAAAGAGCATCTTGCTTCTGGCCGCTGCCGTCTCCCCTGAGGACCCCGGCACTCGGAACTGAGCCGGGATCCAGGCCCAAGGGAGTCGCAGGCCCCGTCCTCACAGCCCCCCAAAAACCGGCCCCAGGTGAGAAGACGTAAGATCACTTACTAGTGGGAGCTCTGCCAAAAGTTCCCTGCCATGGAACACAGCTTGCCCTGATAAAAAAGCACCAGCCGGCGGAGCGGCCCGCGGAGCGACCATAGACCCAGCCCGTCCTGTAACCGCGCTCCTCGATCAAATCAGCTCGGCTCGACTCCGCTCCGCGGCGGCGACGGCGAAAGGAAGAGGATGGCCCCCTAGTCTCCTTCACGCCGGCCGACAACACTCAACTGTGCAAACCCGTTCCTATCGACAAAAGTTCCGGCCCGCGGTAGCGGAGGGAGCCGGCGGGGAGGTGCTGACCTGTAGGGGCGCTGAGATAGAAGAGAACTAGTGCTCACGAGAGCTCACGGCGGTTGGAAGGCTCTCGCGAGAGCGTCTTGCCGGTTCTGGCCGGGGGCCCACGGCGCTCGGTCTCCTGTACTCAGCACTGGAGTTGCTGAGTAGGGGTCTAACCTGGGCGAAGTGGCTGAGTTCCGGGGTTCTGTTATTACCTCTTCCAGGACTTCAAAAACAGAACAATGGCATTGTAATAAAATATAAGATTTTGTGACTTATTTTACCTGTGATTGGAAACAGAAATAAATGAAGATGACTTTGTTCTCACGGATCAAGTTTTTTTTGTTGTTGTTTTTGTTCTTTGTTTTTTTTACCTTGCTCTGCCGTCCAGGCTGGAGTGCAGTGGCGTGATCCCGGCTCACTGCAAGCTCCGCCTCCAGGAGTTCGAGCGATTCTCCTGCCTCAGCCTCCTTCCCGAGTAGCTGGGACTACAGGCGCGCACCACCACGCCCGGCGAATTTTTGTATTTTTAGTAGAGATAGGGTTTCACCATGTTGCCCAGGATAGTCTCAAACTCCTGACCTCGTGATCCGCCCGCCTCGACCTCCTAAAGTGCTGGGATTACAGGCGTGAGCTACCGCGCACGGCCTATTTATTACTTTTGAGACAGAGTCTGGGTCTGTCACCCAGGATGGAGTGCAGTGGCACAATCTTGGCTCACAGCAACCTCTGCCTTTCGAGTTCAAGTGATTCTGCTGCCTCAGCCTCCCAGGTAGCTGGGATTACGGGGATTACAGGCGCGTGCCACCACGTCCATCTAATCTTTGTATTTTTAGTAGAGAGGGGATTTCGCCAGGCTGGTCTGGAACTCCTGACCTCAGGTGATCCATTCGCCTCAGCCTCCCAAAATGCTGGAATTAACAGGCGTGAGCTACCAGCCAGGCCCGGCCTGGATCAAGCGATTTCTTTCTTTTTCTTTTCTTTTTTTTTTTTTTTTTTTTTGAGACAGACTCTTGCTCTTTCACCCAGGCTGGAGTGCGGTGGTGCTATCTAGGCTTACTGCATCCTCTGCCTCCCAGGTTCAAGAGATTCTCCTGCCTCAGCCTCCCAAGTAGCTGCGACTACAGTCGCGCACCACCACGCCCAGCTAATTTTTGTATTTTTAGTAGAGGCGGGGTTTCACCATGTTGGTCAGGATGGTCTGGATCTCCTGACCTCGTCATCCGCCCACCTCTGCCTCTCAAAGTGCTGGGATTACAGGCGTGGGCAACCGCGCCAGGCCGCGCTCTTAATGGAGTTCTTTTGGAGTGATAGAAAAGTGCAAACTTACAGAGCAGCGAAATCACCGGTTTTGTAAAACATCTAAAAACATTCATGCACATATGTATGCACATGTATGTATACGTTTGCACCAAATAGAAACATACTGCAAAAACCATAATTTAATTTTACAAGATGAAATGTTTTGTATTTTCCATTTCAATTTCATTGTAACAATGCATTTGTTGTAAAACTTCTAATTATTTTTCTAAATAATTGGACACGCCAGAAACTTGTTTATAGACGATCAGCATCTGAGGCAACTTAAGATAGTATTTTTAACATTGTGGATGGAGACCAGTTAGGGTGTGGTAAAATTAAGTATAATCATGTTCCTAAATAGAACAGAAAATACTAGGTAAATCAGAAATAGCAAGGATATTATATTAAATTTTGTTTATATTATATACACACACAGTCAAGATGTGAAATGCATTTATTTGTACGTGAGAATTAGTCTGTGCCAGGTGTGGTGGCTCACGCCTGTAATCCCAGCACTTTGGGATGCCGAAGTGGGCAGATCACTTGAGGTCAGGAGTTCGAGACCAGCCTGGCCAACATAGTGAAACCCGGTCTCTACTAAAAATACAAAAATTAGCTGGGTGTGGTGGCGCCTGCCCCTAGTCCCAGCTACTTAGGAGACTGCAGCACAAGAATCGTTTGAACCCAGGAGGCAGAGGTTGTGGTGGGCAGAGATTGTGCCACTGAACTCCAGCCTGGGCAACACAGAGTGAGACTCCAAATCAAAAAAGAGAAAGAAAAAAGAATGAATTAGTCTGGATAAGCTACACTAGGTGAAATAAGCTACACCTCCCCACCCCCACCCCTAATCAGCATAGCTTACCATGAAAGTATTTTACATGTCATAGGTCACTCCCATAAAGTCCCATAAAGTCAGCTTGCTCTCCTTGATGGTTGTCTTCCAGATCTGCAAGAATCTAATATTTATACATCTTTCAATTACTCCATCTTACTTCTAGGCTTAAAATCTTTCTAGAGAGAGCACAGAGGACTCATTTTACTAGCTCTTACCCAGTGTTAAGAGCCTTCAAACAGAAACAACCCAATCACCTTCTCTCATGTGCCAGAATAGACACATGCCTCCAGTTTTCAACTGTGAAGAAAGCTGAGGCCAGGCACGGTGGCTCACGCCTGTACTCCCAGCACTTTGGGAGGCTGAGACAGGCGGATCACGAGGTCAGGAGATCAGACCATCTTAGTCAACATGGTGAAACCCCGTCTCCACTAAAATACAAAAATTAGCTGGGCATGGTGGCGCATGCCTGTAATCCCAGCTACTTGGGAGGCTGAGGCAGGGGAATCGCTTGAACCTGGGAGGTGGAGGTTGCAGTGAGCTGAGATCATGCCACTGCACTCCAGCCTGGGTGTCGGAGTGAGACTGTCTCAAAAAAAAGAAAGCTGAGAAATGTAGAGGAGTGTGTAGTATACTTGATGAACACTACTGTCTGTTACACGGCAGATCACAATAAAAAATATTTAAAAGGCACTACCTTAAGAAACTCCAAGCCGTGGGCTATTTCACAGATTCAGGATTTCTTCAACTCTCTCAGGGTTTGTTTTGTTTGTTTGTTTTTGTCAGTCTGGCATCCAGAAGTTAAGGATACTGCAACGAATTAGTATTACTAATGTTTTATTATAAGCGATCCTATTACACTACACTGTGTTACTGTTACTGGACTAGCACTTTTTTTTTTTTTTTTGGTCACCCAGGTTGGAGTGCAATGGCTTCAGGTGATTCTCTTGCCTTAGCCTCCCAAGTAGCTGGGATTACAGGTGCCTGCCACCATGCCCGGCTAATTTTTTTTTTTTTTTTTTTTGTATTTTTAGTAGAGAAGGGGTTTCACCATGTCGGTCAGGCTTGTCTCGAACTCCTCACCTCAGATAATCCACCCACTTCAGCCTCCCAAAGTGCTGGGATTATAGGCCACCTGCAATTTTGTTTTATACCTAATTCTGCACTCTTCTTCCTACAAAACAGTGAGATCCTTCATCTTTGTATTTCCATTAGTTCAGGGTATAATGCATAGTAGGCATAGCAAATACTGGTGTTTAAATCTCTTGTAGAATTTGGGGGATGTGCTTTGATATAATATTATGGATACAAAATTATGCTGAAAAGTGAGTACTACATTTAGAATGCAAAAAGAGCCACAACAACTTACCACAGCTGTGGAAATTCAGGTCCTTTCCTTCTGTGAACTCTTCTAGGCAATTTACAATAAGTGCTACATAGAACCTCTTCCTGTTTGTGACTTGGTTTCTGCTTCCGCCAAATGCCCTGCAGCTCCCAGTGCTCATGGGGGCTGTGCAAGTCAAAGGCCTAGAGCTTAGGCTTCCTTAGTTTCAGAGTAAATTGCTTTTGAGGGCATTCTATAAATGTAGGTTGAATTAAATTGACTTGATTCAAAGGCTAACTTCATTTAAGGATATCTCTAGTGGAATAGAGAAATTTATAAAAGCTGTTAAAATGCGTAGATATCCCAGCTTACCTGGATGCAAAAAGATCATGAGCTATCTAGTAGATTTGCCTTTTTTCACTGATAATTTTTTAAACTTTTCTTTATAATTTTATGAGTATTGTTTTTCAAGCCTCACTACCCACTAATTTAAACTTGATGAAATAAATTAATGTTGTCCCTTTCAATTTTCAGCTTACCTTGTGCTTTTCAAACAGGGATGTGTTCAATAAATTCTTTTTAAAAAATTTTTATTTTTCATTTTTGTGGATACATAGTAGATGTATATATTTATGGGATACATGAGCTATTTTGACACAGGCATGCAATAAGTGATAATCATATCAGGGTAAATGGGTATCCACATCTCAAGCATTTATCCTTTGTGTTACAAACAATCCAATTATACTCTTTTAATATTTTAAAACGTCAATAAAGTCTTGATGCTAGTGTTCACTCTCTTGTGACAAGAAAGCATTTATCTTTTTCTTCTTACACTGCTTTCTCCAGCAGCATGAATACTATTTGTGGTAAACTAGGAGCTAGAAGGTTAGTGGCTTTATTAACCTCACTTAGTTAAATAGAGGCAAGAATACCTGGAATCCGATTCTTCTGATTCACAGTGCAATAACTTTTTTACCCAACTAGACAGCTTCAACAAAACTACTATGACTAAACTGCTGTAAGCACATTATTCTAAGTTTGTAGTACAAGTTTTTCTTCTTGAACAGAATTATTGGAGATAATCTCATTTTTTAATTAAATTATTATCATAATTACTTTGCTTTGTTATTACTAGTCCTTATTGTGAAAAACATCCTCTTCTTTATGTAGTCATCCCCTGTACCTCCCTTTATTTTAGTTCTGGTATACCTGTATTTGTTGAAGAGTAATACACTTCTAAATTACGGAAAAGCGTTTTTGTTTTGTGCTATAAGAGAATAGCAGACTGGGTAATTTATAATTGTCAACCTAGATAACAGAGAGAGACTCTCTAAAATAAAATGATCTTTATTCAGGAATAGGGCATTGCAATAGAAGTATGTGCGCCCTTAGTAAACTACATGGGTATTTAGGGAGGTAAGGGAACACAAAGGTTTTTAAAGAAAAAATGAAAAGGATTACATAATTGTTTTGAGATAATTTAGCCATGGCTACAAGGATCAGTTACAAAAGTGACACCAGTCCAAGGTTAGATAGGCAGTTGCTGGGCAGATATCCTCACAGAAATACTGTTTTGTGTGCAAGGTTGCTGTGGTGTTTGTGCAATGTTATGGTTTTTGCAGTAGCTTTTGTGATAGTTTTTGTTACCAGGCATTTATTTGTGAGAACCCTTCCTTCATGGCCCTTTGAGGCTCTATTTTTTATTTTTATTTTTTAACCCAAATGACTCAATTTTGATCTTGACAACTTTCACATAATGAACAGAAATTTATTAGCTCATGGGTTCTTGAGGCTGGGAAGTCCAAGATTGAGGGGCTGGCATCTGGTGAGGGCCTTCTTGCTACATCATCCCATGGCAGAAGGA